AAATATTTTATTGAATTTTCTGATTAGGCCTCGGCCGTTCAAGAAAACAGTACTGAACTCTATCTGTCCTGCGTGAATCTCTTCTTACCACTCCAACAGAGAAATAGTTGTTGATGATGTTGTAGGGGACAGGGTCCCCCTTCTCCTCCTCATCCTCTGGGATGATGTGGATGCTCCAGCGGTCTAGAACCACCTCTGTGCTGCGCTCAATGTCCCGGAGGATTTTCAGCAAACTGCCACCTTCATAACCTGATGAGACAGACAAGGGTGGACGGTGACGCAGGTGAAAATCCCTAAATACATCTCAAGGCTTTTACAGTAGTGTGAACTGTGTACTTTTCTTATTAGTCTCAGAAAAAGGTCAAAGTAAGACAGGTAGAAAATAAAAATAGTCGTGTCCCAGAGGCCTAAGGAAGGATCTGAGTAGATGTTGTGATCACACATAGTCCTGGAGTGAGGAGTAGGAAGGATACCATACCAAAGTGTATTTGTATAGCAGCACATTAACAAACTGAAAGTCTGCAGGAATGGAATGCGGCCCAGTTAAAACACCCGTGCTTTCCCAACTCACTGAGCTGGTCCTGCTGCAGGAAGTCTACATGATCCATCCCACTCTGTGTGAAGGTCTTTTTCTTCCCATACATCTGGCATGTTGGTAACTGTTCAGGGACATGGTATCATGCCCCAGATATCACTGACCCAATACACACCAACGTAGAAAAGCCTTTACTAGGATCATGGTTCCACCCATCAGCTCTGGATGGTAAATGGGTCATGTCCTGGTGTGTGTTAGTGCGGGCAGCTTATTGATATGGCTGAGGTGAACATGCTCTCATTGCCAGTTACTATCTAGCTTGGGGGGGGGTGTCCCACAAATCTGAAAAGTGGGAGTTGTTGCTCGTAATTAAAAAAGCTGTTGGGATCTTGTGCTGTTATTAACTAGTTATGAACTGCTTGAATGGTGCTGCTGGGAGGACCAGAACAACGCTCACCCAGACTTTTTGTTTTGTTTGTTATGGAGCTGCCAGGTCTTGGTGGGCTACAGCAGCAGGAACCATCTTCCTGCTCTGGCTTGCAGCGTAGACCGAGTTTACCTCTGAAAGTTTGTGGATTCAGAGAAAATACATCAGTCAAGTTGTGTTTGCTACTAGTTATCAGTGTGGTCTGTATACACTCAAACAAAATAATAATAGTCTCTGCTGTCATGTAACAGTGGCAGGTGAATAAAGTTGAGACTTTCCTCCCCGGGATGTTTCTCCTTATCGTGGATGTCGGGTTTCACTGCTCCAATGAGCCTGGGGGCCTTGTTGACACTCTGGTGAACACCAGAGGTCTGGGGAGCTGCGAAGCTGAAGAAAGAGGCCTACATGTCTGGTCTTTGGGTCTCCAGAAGCAGCAGACAGGTTGCTGAGTCTGTGTTCAGACCAGCTGGGCAACAATGTAGAACGTGAGTCTGCAGATACAGAGGGAATGACGTCCTGTGTACTATTAGTGTCAAAGGATCCCAGCAGCAATAAGCCAGTGGTGTGGACCCTGGAGAGGCTAGTTGTTGCTCATCTTCATTGCCTGGTGAGATCTTCATGGGATCCTTCCCCCTTGTCTACCAGTCTGATGTTGGGATTTATGATGCCATCATCTACCTGCTCCACAGAACTCTGGCTCTCCCAAAGAAGACTGGAATCACTCTGAAATGGTTGTCTCCAGTGCTTCCAGTATCATATAGCCAAGAGACAAGTCGGACCTCTCAGGAGTGGACCAGGACCTTTCCAACTGGATCCTGGACTGTCTCCATAATTCCCAGCAGTTAGTGAGGGCATGAGAGTCTCTGTCTGAAGAACAGAGATGCCACAGGGCACTGTTCTGGTTCTTTTTCTTTTTAAACAAGGTTAACTCTGCATCCTGCTACCTGTACAAAGTCTCAGACATCTCTGCCGTGTTTAGTCCCACTACAGATCAAGACAACAGAGACTACAGAGAAGTAAATCAGATCTTAGTGGACATGTGCAACATCACCTTCCAATCAATGATGGGAAAACCAAAGAGCTGTTGGTGGACCTCTGGTGTTACAGCCACACCTCTCTAGTGGGGTTTTACAACGGCACTACTCAGCCAAAGGCAGCTCGGTACAGCGTGGGTTAACTCAGCTCCCCTCAGCTCTGGAGCAACCATGATTTTGCCTAGCCAATCAGCAGCCGACAGTTGCAATGCACGTCTGGCTAAACCCTCAGAACCACAACGAAGCAGAGACTGAAAAGTAGAAGGAACATAAGGGGAAAACACCAAGCCGTGCTGTTGGAAACCAGACCACATCAACCTGAGTTCCACTGAGTGAACATCCAGAGATCAGAGACGGAGATAGTGGACTCTCACCTGAACAATGAACTGGACTGGACTCTAAACACTGCTGTGTGTTACAGGAAGGGTCAGAGCAGACTCCACCAGCTGTGGTGACTAAAGGTGCTTCCACATCTGGGCCAGCACGGGGCAGTTAGATAGGTTCATCTTCACTTGATAACTAAGTAAATTCTGCCATACTATTATATAAACCCAGACATCAGATTTTTCAAAGACACTTAAGTTCTTAACATCTAAGATCATGTCCCATCAGAGTTCATTCATTGTCTCAGTTGATATCACCTTAAATCATCATTTATAATAATTTATCATCATTAGTCATAGAAATATATTAATTAATAAATAAGAAATATAGTAATAAATAGATTTTATAAACTATATTTTTGCCTCTGTGTCAAATTAATATAAAGTGATTGTTCCCTGGCATACCCAAAGTACCTATTTGCATCATCGATCAAATTTGAAAGGCTCAATAATATTGATAATCCATATTTTTATGGAATATTACATTTGATTGAATACCTTTATAATTTATTGACAATTTATTAAGAGGAACCACTTACAAAATGTTTGTGGGCTGAAAAACTAACTGGTTGAGTACAGAAAAATACAAGTGTACCTAGATATGAACACTTTAAAAGCTACCCAGTCCGGTCCGTGATGGCCCAGATGTGAAAGCATCTTAAGGTGCCTTGGGGTGCATGGGGCACTCCTGGAAACCTCTTACAACTCTGTATCGGCTATGATGGGAGATGTATCTTGTAAGAGTAGCAGCATCTCAGAAGCAGAGGAAGCGATTGGATAAACTAACCAGAAAAGGAAGCACTTTTCAAGGATTCCCCATGACCCAATGGGGTGGTGGGTGACCAGAGGATAACTAAGTTAACATGCATGTTTGAAAACGTCTCCCTCCTCATGCATGCATGACACCTTAGCAGCACTGGAGAGCTCCCTGAGTGACAGACTGCTGTACACTAGATGCAACAAGCAGTTTTTTATTGTAGATCATGTCCTCCAGCAGCTTTCAGACAGTTCTGTGTCCCTGTGGGGGACAATCAGGGAGTGGGGGGGGGGGGGGGGGGGGGGGGGGGGATGGTCCGCTAAAGGCCTTTAAGTCCCTGTGCCATGAGACTGAGTCTGTTCTACGTTGCTAGACCAGCTCCTGGTGTGGGTTGGGCTACAGGAAGTTCTGGGTGCAACCAAGGGATGGAAGGTTTCAGGAGGACATGGGGTGGCCGACGTAATGTATATGCTTAATGTATCCCAAGTTTGTGTCCATACCAACCAGCCCTATAGATGATGTAATCTACTTAGCTTCATCAAACTATGATCTTGCAGGGGAGTTCTGCAGATGACTAAGGAGCAGCTGGGATGAAGATCAGCACCTCCGAAGGGACAGTTGTCAGGTCCAGGTTAGGACAGAGCTCCTACCTCAAGTGGAGTTATTTTTTGGAGTCACGAGTGAGAGAAGGAGCCAGTGTGGGCTCAGTTTACTAGTCAAGCTACATCCCAATCCTCACCTCACGAGCCTTGGGTAATGACAGAGAAAACAAGATCATGAAAGCAAGCAGCAGCAAAGAGGTTTCCTCTGCCAGGTGACCTGTATGTGGACCACAGACATCCAGGAAAGACTCGGAGCAGAGCCTCTGGTCCTCCATCCTGACAGGAGCCAGCTGAGGTGGTTGAGTCATGTGGTCAGGATGCCCACATCTAGAAAACAATCTGATTGTTTTCAATCTTTCTTCCAGTTATCTCACACCCATCCTGCCTTACAGGTTGTCTCCTTTAGCTTTTTACCGTGTTAAAACAGATAAATCATGTCCTAAAATAATTCTTTAATTTATTAAGTTGCTTCAAGGTTCAACTGAACAAGCTTGTTTCCTCTGAGGCTGCATGAGTCCTCTACATGTGAATACCCATACGGTGGCTCAGTAGAAAAACAGACACACGTGTCTGAGTGGTTCCTCACCTCCACCCCAGCGTAGGCATCGTGCCAGGTCATTCCCTGTGCCCAGAGGAAGGATGGCCACAGGAGGATGTCTGGCAAAGTTAGCCTTATCTGCAAGGAGGAGAAATTCTGATCATGACACAAGCAATTATTACTACATGAATTATTTGATTAAGGATGAGAGCTAAGTTAGCAAACGGCCTGCTTCAGAGGAGTCATAATCCCTCATGCAACATGTGAGAGACCAACTGTAGGAGATAGGAGACTTACAGTAGAAAGCTGGTCAGAGAGGGATTTAATTTCCATAATTATGAGACATCCTTATCTTATCATCAAGAGCAAACACAACATATTTGGGATTTCAAAAACACAACAGCAGTCTGTATTAAATGGGATTAATCCCTTCCGTTTCCTGCCATTACAGAGGGGTGTTTTCAGTCCAGAGGATAGAGTTTTAGTACCAATGCAGTCGAGGATCCAGCCCACGGTGCCATCACCTCCACAAGCAAGCACCCGGAAGTCAGGGACATCATGGAGGAAGCGGAGCCTGGGAGGAGAGGAGGTTCAGCACATTTAACCAAGAGAGTGCAGGAAACAGGTGCACCACGAAGCTATTATCAGGAGGAACGTTCCCTAATTCTAATGACAAGATATATGAAGAAAGCTGTTTACAGGTGAGTAATCCGTTGATTGTGTTACATCTGGGATTTTCTAAGCTCTGAATGATCTAATGAAGTGTAAGCTGAAAGGCTGCAGGGCAGAAAGAGTCTGGTCAGTGAGAGGCCTTTCCAGCTGCGCTCACTCCACTTCACTCCCCTGAAACTACCGTCACTGAGTGGCGCTGAGTGCAGGCCTTTCACAGGGACCTTTAATGTGTGCTGAGACAAAGGCTTTCATCTCCATCCATCATCACACACCTGAATGACCATCATCCAGCTGGTCCTGCTTAACGCTGTGCATGACTGAGATGCACGCAGCAGCAAAAATGACCAGCTAACAGGTCTTCTTACAGCAGCTGCTTCCTCCATTGTCAATAAATCCAGTCAAAAACAAACTGTGCTTTACTGCAAGTATAAAATCATTTCAAATCAATTTAAATGAGCATATGTCTAATGAATCTGCTTCCATCACGTGCTTTGAAGTGCTAGTCGGTAGTTTGGTAGGTAGGTAGTAGACTTGGGCGGGATTACCGTATCGTATACAGCCAGTGTTAAAAAATAGCAGCGATGTCAGTTCCAATATGTCATACAAAACAGGAAACAAGGAATTAAAAGATAAACATTAAAATAAATAAAAATTATAAATAAAGGTCATTTAATGTATAAAATGGATGTGTGCTTGAATTTTTAGTTTGACTTAAATAGTTTCAAATGTTTTTGTCCAGATTTTAGAGACATTCCATAAAGTTTACGAACATGATGTCATCACGTGACAGCACGGAGACAGCTTGCGCATCAGCTGACTCGGTGTCTAATAGTGCTGCACAATATATCGAAAAATTATCGTCATCGCGATAACAGGACGTGCGATAGGCCCGTCACAAAGCACGTCAAAAACGGCGATAAATGTTTGGTTCAACATTTCCATCTGTGTCATACATCAACTTTTTGTAAACCAGCTCTGTTTTTTTACGCGGAAGTATTATTTGACCAATCAAATGTAGCCCCTCTGATATGCGGCCAATCAGATGGGTCCGTTCAAGTAATACGCCCGCCCCCTACATAGACCCTTAGGATGGAAAGCAGCAACTGAACTGAGTTTGCGGCGCCGTTCCCTTGTTCGTCATGCTGGCTCAGAGCAACGAACGCACTTTGTGCTGATGTTTCTGGATTCAGCGCTGCTTTCAAACGTGAACGTGAGTCCGCTCGGTGTCGTTAATCATTTTTACTGGGCTGACTCCGACACGTGCCGGTGAAACAACCCACCTTCATGTCACTAGTGTTAGCCCCAGGCTCCGGTTAGCTTCCAGCTAAAAGGCTACAGCACTCTCCTCCCAGTCCCACCCTGCTAAAGAGGGCCTGGAAAAGTTCCCCCACACTTCAAAGTGATTTTTCATTTATGAGCTTTTATAACCTTGTTAATCAGGATAGTTGATTTGCTGTTGCACATAAACTGTCAGTCAGAAGCTCTGCTAGCCGGTTATCTTAAGAGGAGCTAGTTCAATTTGTTAGCTTGTTATCAGAATCATAGTTGCAGTTTCATCATCTGAGCTGCTTTTTAAGATCTAGGTAAACTTGTTCAATTTGGGGTTAAAAACAAACGTTTTCACAAATTTTCCATGTAGTTTTTTTTTTGCCAGTTCCTCTTCTGAAAGGTAGACAATTGTTTTTCTCTTTCCCTCAGAAAATCTTAATATTCTCCTAGTTTGGCCCAGCACAGTTCACTTCCCAATTTCAGCAACAGCCTTATATCATAACCACATAAGTGGAGAAAATGCTCAGTAGCAATGAGAGAATTTGCTGTTGAATTTAAGTGATGTTAACTATTATTTAACTTTTAAAGTAATTTTCTGATTATTTATTTGTTTATTCAAAAAACCCTGGTAAGGGATGTTTTTCTGTATTTGGAGCATCAGAAAAAGTTTTATGGTGGAGGTGATGTTTTAAAGTCACAGAGAAACTGCATGCATGCAGTTTGTTGTTTTGCTGCTAATACAGTAGCAGGTGCAGCTGCATATTTTTGCAATAAAAATGTTATGTTGTAATGGAATTCATGCATTAGTTTTTGTTTGCTTTGAACCCAGAGGAGTGTTGTGAGCCAGGAGGTGAGCACTCTCCACACACCATTATCTCACCTGTGTTTTGAGCTTCTCTGGTTTCAGGAGAGAGAGCAGCAGCTGCGACCCATCAGCTGATTAGCGGGCCGCCTTCATAAGGAGGACGGAGGACGCTTCTGGTTGCCGGATGATTACACCTCACTGGTAGAGTCCCAGCCCTCGTGAAAACTTGAAACCTTGTCTTTGAACCTATTTTGCATCGTGTTTTTGCCCTGACCCAATTCCAGTTTTTTCTTACGCTCCAGGCTCAGTCATCCCTCCCCATAACCTGCATTCTCGTTTTTTGGATTCCTACTGCGTTACCGTACAGCTCACGGTCTTCCTCCTCGGTCCTCATCCTCTCAACTGGTTCAGCCTGCTCACAGCACAGTCTGCCCTCTCTCTCCTACCTGCTGGAAACCCATCACTCTGCGCTCTTGGACGCTCTCTCGCTCTCCCGGCTCACTCCTCCTTGGACATACTACTTCTCTCTCTCATCCACGCTGCTTCCCGTTCTCTCACCCGCTGGATTTCCAGTGCGCCTTTAGTTGTTATTCTAATAACTAATTTTATTTTTTTCTCACATCCTGCCTCCGAGTTTGATTCTGCATGTCCTGGGTTAAACACTTGCCTCAGATCATGACAGAATCATCCGGCCAAAATACTAACCAAGCAGAATCAGTACTCACCTCTCTATCTCACAGATTAGCCCAGCAGGAACAAGCCCTTCAGAGGCTCATGGAGCAGCTAACCATATCAAATCAGCGTTGCCAGCAGCTAGAGACTATGGTCCGACAGCTTCATGAGTCTATTTCCCAGTCCCGTCCTTCCACCTCCTCTTCAGACACACTGTTGGATTCCGCTGCTACTACAGGCTTCCACGGAGCGGAAACAGCAAGATCCACTGAGGAAACGCATTTCCGTGTTGCCCCGTCACCAGGGACAGTTACCTTTGGGGGTGAGTTCGAGGAGTGTCACAGCTTCCTACTCCAGTGTGAACTGGCATTTGAACGTTGTCCCTCTGCTTTTAGATCTGATTCTGCTAAAATCTCTTATGTAATAGGACTTCTACGTGGCAGAGCCTAGAGAGGGGCTGAGGCTAAAAGCCACACTGATTCATTTCTACATGGACTATTTAAATACTTTGTGGCTGAGTTCACTCAGACTTTTGGCAGTGTGGAATCTGTGTCAGACATCAGGAGGAAACTTATGAATCTCACCCAAGGTAGACAATCGGTGGCGGACCTGGCCGTGGATTTCCGGATCTTAGCTGCACATACAACTTGAGATGAGGACACCCTCATCGGGGCATTTACTGAGGCCCTTAATGACAAGATCAGGAACCAGTTGGTTTTATGTCCAGAACCGAACTCTTTGGATGAATTAATCAGGCTGGCCATGTCTATAGATAAACGCTACCGTGAGGTGAGGCGAATGGATATGGAACCAGTTGTTTCCTCTTCTCAGGAACGTATCGCTGGAGCTAGGGGGCGCTCCGCACCCGATCCTCTACCCACGGAGGAACCCATGCAGATGGGCAGAGCCAAACTCTCTCAGGAGGAGAAAGATCACAGACGCAAATTTGGGCTTTGTCTATATTGTGGTTTGCCAGGACATTTTGTGAACAACTGCCCCTCCCTGGTAAAAGGGAGCGCCCGCCGGTAAAACCGGGGCTACTGGTGGGTGGAAACCTCAACTCAGCTGTGTCCCGGTGCTCTTTTCCGTGCTCATTGTCTTTTAATTCTAAGCAGATTCCTCTCGAGGCACTTTTGGACTCCGGATGTGAGCAATCTCTCTCGGACCCTCGACTAGTGGCGGAATGGGGAATTCCCACAACTAAGCTTGCCACACCTCGCTCTGTTTCCTCACTGGACAACCGCAACCTCTCCCCCATTACCCTTCAGACTGTTCCTCTCTGCCTGCTAGACTCAGGTGATCACACTGAAACTCTCACTTTTTATGTGTTCCCTTCTCCTCAGTCTCCACTAGTGCTGGGACACTCATGGCTGATCCGTCACAACCCCATTCTCGACTGGAGAGAGAATAATATTTTTGGATGGAGCCCAGAGTGTTTGCAGTTGTACCTGCGGTCTGCCTGCCCACAGACCTACCACTCCTCCTGCGGAGGACATTGATCTGTCTACGGTACCCCAAGAATACCATGATCTGGGACTTGTTTTCAGTAAAGACCGGGCCTCTTCTTTACCCCCACACAGACCGTATGACTGCGCCATCAACTTACTGCCCGGGGCCCCTCTGCCTTCGAGCCGTCTTTACCATCTATCCAAGCCGGAGAGAAAGAGTATGGAAGATTACATACAGGACTGTCTCGCAGCAGGAACTACTTGACCGTCTTCATCACCCCTGGGAGCTGGCTTCTTTTTTGTGCCCAAGAAGGATGGTACACTCAGGCCCTGCATTGATTATAGAGGTTTGAACCAAATCACCATCAGAAACAAGTATCCTCTACCTCTTCTTTCCTCCATTTTCAAACCCATTCAGGATTCCACCATCTTCACCCGGCTGGACCTCAGAAATGCTTACCACCTGGTTCGAGTGAAGGAAGGGGACGAATGGAAGATGGCCTTCAAGACCCCTCTGGGTCATTTTGAGTATTTAGTAATGCCCTTTGGACTTACTAATGCCCCTGCCGTTTTCCAGTCCTTGGTTAACTCAGTGCTGGGTGATTTCCTCAACCGCTTTGTCACTGTCTACCTGGATGATATCCTGGTTTTTTCCAAGACTCCGGAGCAGCACGCCCAGCATGTGAGAGCGGTCCTCCAACGCCTTCT